TAGGAATGTTCAGTCTGATTGGGAATGGTGTGTCTTTACAAAGCTTTTGATCCGACGTACAGTTTTCTTACAATATTTTTGTAATTATTGCAATGTTTGTCCCATAGGAATGAATGGGGTGTAAAGGTTGCATGTGCATCTACTGTATTTCTGCTCCACTGAAAGACAATGTTTCCTATATATATATCCTATATCTTTTCTTTTAGGGCAGGCCCCTGGGCATAAATTCAGCTGTTCTGACCTGCACTCATCTGTTTATCATTTTTTTTCATCCCTCGTGCCTCACATAGACTCCCATTCATTTTTGCCCCAAACACAGGCCCTATTACTTTTTAAGACCAATATTCACCAAACTGCATGCACACACTCAGGGCAGGTCCTCAAACTCTAATCCACAGTCATACTGACCTGCACTCCTCTATGTGTTGTTTTTTCATTCCTCGTTCCACCCAACACGCAATCACTTGGCAACCCCCTAACAATCACTCAGTAAACACCCCGTACACCATGGCAACCTTCTAGCAACCCTATACAAACAACCCTTATACTATAGCAACCGCTTAGCAACATCTTAGCAACCACTTGAGATACCTTAGCAACCGCCTAGCAACATGTTAGCAAGCTGGTGCTTCTTCTTTTTCTTATTTTTCTGCTGAATTGTTGTCCACTAACTCATTCACTCCGGACCCAACTCCGGATTGTTCAGTCTGATTGGGATACAGGTTTTGGTTGGACACACAGTTTTCATATAATCATGGTTAAATGATGTTTTTCCCTTTGGAATAAATGGGGGCAAACATTTGTACATGTATATCATCATAATACAAGTCCATTAACAACAACCTATTAATCACATGGGGTATATTTAGCAACTATTAGCAACCACCTGGGATACCACAGCAACCACCTAGTGACATCTTAGCAACCACCTGGGATACCATCGCAACCACATGGGGTACCATAGCAACCAGCAACCACCTAGAAACACCCTAGCAATCACCTGGGATACCATAGCAAGCACCTAGAAACAGCCTAGCAATCACATGTGAAATCATAGCAACCACAAACCAACGCCTTGGCAACCACCTGAGATAGCATAGCAACCACCTAAAAAACCACAGTAACTGCCTGGAAACACCCTAGCAACCATCTTAGAATTGATTAGGTTGCACAATCTATCTGCATTGTCTTCAGTTTGTGTTCCCTCTGTTAGCATTAAAGGGTAGTATGATATGGTTTATTGTAGAGACACTTACAGATTTCTCAGAAAGCCTGATTTCTTTATAGTGGTGGTGATAAAAACTAGGAGTCACAATGTCTACAACACAAATATAGCCATTTTTAACTTAGAACTTAACTAACTTTTTCCAAAGAAAGTTGTTTTGATTTTTGAGTTATGTGTAAGTCACAGAATTCACTCCTACATTATTTGAATCTCCCGCTTATAACCCACTCATTGTGAAGCAAGTAAGTAACTCACAGTGAGAGTTAGTTAGACTAAAGTGCAGCTTCCACTCTGCGGAGTTAGTTTTAACAAATCACTTCTGTCGGAACAAAACAAAAATCTCCATTTTTGTCATTTCCAGTTTTTGACAAAATTTGACAGTACCTGTTGCTCATTAAATTGAGTGTGTTTACTTGCTCTCAATAATCCAGATTAGTCAAATGGTCATCTAAACAGCGCACTCCGATTTCTTAGATCAGAGTAAGGTATAGAAATCTGATAAAGAGAGCTGGATTTTAGCTCAGTAATCAGATTTCTCAGTGCATGTAAACTCTTACTCTGATTTCTTTCAGATTTCTCAGTCTGCGCATGTGCAAAACAGACTGCTGTACCGGAAATAACATTCAGCAAAACACTTTTGAAGCGATGCTGAAACTAACTACATGCTTGATAAAAAGGATTTAAATATTCTTCATCTTCTAGATGATGTACGTTCGTGGCATGAAGTTTAAATTTAAATTACGTTACATTTATGTCACGACTTCTTCTGTGTGTTTATTGGCTGGTTGCAAAACAGAAATCCAATTACTGCTTGACTCATGTAGACCCAGAGTTTCCCCATTATCTGATTACTAAAGTGCATGTAAACACGTTGATCGTATTACTGACAAAATCTGATTTCCTGCAGTTATCGGATTATTAAGTGCATATAAACGTGTGTACATTTCATGATGAATGGACCAAATGTAATGGCCCAAAGTGACGTGGAAAAAAGTGTGATTACACTGACTTACATTAACAGTGAAGTATGTTTTGTCCTTTTCCTGTAAATTCCTCATTTTGGAAATGCAAGGTTTTGTTCCGACAGCAGCAAAATGCGTTTTGTTTTTTGATACCTCCATTCTATAAACTTAGAAAAGGCACTGTGGGCACTGAGTGTATTTCAAATTGACCCCCATATATGAAGTAAACTAACTAGATATTGGACCATTTTAAAAAGTATGACATTAATGCAAGGCCGCTGGAATGCTTTGTCCACTAATGCACTGCAAAACTGCATTAATTGCTAACCACTCCAACACTCAAACGTAAATGCAAGGCATTTTAAGGTACATTCTAAATGTTGATGTTTTTAAATGTTGAGATATGTAAATGCTGCCTATCTGCAATGCACTTAGGAGCTAGTTAAAGGGAAATCCACTCTCTGGCCTGCTCAGTGCTTGTTGTTGGATGTGAAATGCTTCATTCTAGAGAAACCTGCCGAGTCAGTCACGGTAGTGGTGAATGGAACCAGATGTCTGAAGAGTTTAATGCCTCTAAAAGCTCCCTCACGAAGAGTTGTCATGTGAAATGGTTCTGAAAATGCAGCGGAGGAGTATGTGCATGGCGAAATAGTCCCCAAAGAAAACTTTAGCACTATTTTACCATCATCATCATTACATAAAAAAACCTAGATGACATGTAGGTTCACTGGTGGTTTTAAGTAGTGAATAAAATGTTAAAATAAAAAATTTGTGTTGCAGACATCATAACCCTGGTTCCAAATCAGTCAGTAAGCTTCTCTACGATTTCACACCAAACCACTCTGAACATCTCAACCACTGAATGATGCTGAAATTTTGAAAAATGGGTTGAATTCCCCTTTCACTGCTATGCTATGGGCTTTGAGGGTGTAGTTGGTTTATGTTTGATGTTAAAGGTTTTCTGGAAAGGTTGTGTCCCACTGTAAACCTAGCCTCCTCTTTGTGACCTCACTTGTGTTCAGGGCACTAGAGGTCAGTGCGAGACGCAGCCATGATCCCTTCAAACGGGACGCACTGCTCTGGGACGCACTGCTCCACTCCTGCTGACGAGTGAGTTCAGCCTTCCGTTCAGATTCTAATTACGGAGACAGAGACAGGCAGAGGTAATTAATTCGTGTAGAGTTTGGAGCCTGACAGCGTTAGATAAGCAGCCTCATCGGGAGCAGGAATGCAATTGTGTTAATTAATGGACCAGTGGATAATGCGTTAAGACTGAGTGTACCTTCAGTATTTATTATCTGAGTTTAAAAACACTAACGTGATGCTTTCCACTAAGATTGCAGCTGAAATTCACCCCCCACTTTATATTACAAGACAAATACTGATAGCTATGCCTAAAATAAATAGTGTCTAATCTCTAATAACACCTGTGTATTAATGCATTGCAGTTATATAACAGGTAAGCTGCCTGCATTTACAAACAATATAATAACTCACACTTACATTATATAACGCAGCTCTATCATGTACTATAAGCAGTGTTATCATGCTTTACACCAGTGCACTGATATATGTGCTCAGCCTCTCTACTTAAACTGGCCTTAGGGTAAGAAGATTAAACATGGCATAGGATGGGTTATTTATAAAAAGGGAGTAAATGGAACAGATATGTGACCCAAACCTGGACCTGAAAAGATTATTGGATCTTAAACACTGGTTGGTTCAAATGTAGGTTCGGTGCACCAACTGCAATTAGCCACTAGACGGCACTGTGTCCATTTGCAAATGTTAAAGAGGTTGAGTCTTCAATTTTCCTGTTTTACCATCACCTGAGACAAACCTCTTACCCCTAATGTTATCAGCCGAGACATGTTTGGTGTCTAAAGTTGGCACTGAAGCTACGAGGCTAATGTAGCTAATAATGGCAGCTCACATGAATCAGCCATAACATTAAGAATCTCCTTGTTTCTATACTCATTGTCCATTTTATCAGCTCCACTGACCATATAGGTGCACTTTGTAGTTCTACAATTACAGACTGTAGTCCATCTGTTTCTCTGCACACTTTGGTAGCCCCCTTACACCCTGTTCTTCAGTGGCCAGGACCCTCATGGACCCTCACAGAGCTTATTGGGGTGGGGGATCATTCTCAGCACTGCACTGACACTGATGTGGTGGTGTGTGTTGTTGCGCTGGTATGAGTGGATCAGACACAGCAGTGCTAATGGAGTTTTTAAACACTGTGTCCACTCACTGTCTACTCATTTAGTACCACCTATCCTGGTGGGCCACCTTGTAGATGTAAAGTCAGAGACGACAGCTCAACTGTTGTTGCACAGTTTGTGTTGGTCATCCTCTAATCCTTCATCAGTGGTCACAGGATGCTGCCCACAGGACGCTGTTGGTTCGATGTTTTTGGTTCTCAGTCCAGCAGTGACCCTAAGGTGTTTAAAACCTCCAGCAGCACTGCTGTGTCTGATCCACTCGCACCAGCGCAACACACACTAACACACCACCACCAGCACATCAGTGTCACTGCAGAGGCAATCATCAGAAACCAAACATATCTTGGCTGATGAACGACATTTGAAGCAAGGTAGAATTTTATTATTCACCAAACTATCGCTTTAATGTTACTGTGCACCTCCTGTCAAGTCCTGCCATCATGTTTCTCAGTGTTTTCAGGATAAAGTGGCAATTTTCCATACATTATTTAGGAGTCTGGTCTCCCTGTGGAGAGGAATTTGTGCCAAATTGAAAAGCAATCACTACAGAAGAAAAATGTGAAATGCAATGTACACATGACATTACTCTTCCATTGTGACATGCAAAATATGTGCCAAAATGAAAAACAAAACCTCCATTACATTATTTACACGTCACTTGACCTCTTTACTGAAAAACAGTATATGCAGATTTGCATTTAAAACAAGAAATGCTATTGCCTTCCACCGTGCAGTTCTTCAAACAAGGTTAAATCAGTGTAATGGATCTTTTTTATGTTTAATTTTGGAACGTTATTTGTTTGAATGCAATGTCACATCTGCACTGCGTTTCACTGTTATGACTGCATTTCAATGAGCCAAATCCAAGTACTGCCAGGCCCTGATCATTCAATGGAATTTTATGGGTGCATGCATGGGGGCCCAAGCCACTAGGGGGCACCGCTGAGTAACTATGAGAAAATGACTTGCTGTGCCAGTAGTGGTGGGAGATTTACTAGAGGCACAGTGGAAAAAATAGCTAATCACAATCATAATCCTGACATAATCATAATCCTGACACTCTCTACCTCTTTCCTAAATGTCTGCTTCATTGTTTCCTGTCATCAGAGGTAAGATATAAGAGGTAAGATGACCTGCTGTGGCAGTATGCTTTAGCTAGAATGCTTGACGGTAGAGGTCTACACTCTCGCAGGATTCCCACTGGACCCCAAGGGGAGCGGGTGGGTAACCAGTCCACTGCAGGCGGGAGCGGGACAATCCCGCAAATGAATGAATAGCCTAAATAAGTAGAACGATCACTAAATCATATATATAAACAATATAAAATGATAACAGTGATACAATTCAAATGAATTAAGTCACTCTAAAGAGTTGCGAAGCAGCCGATCCTGTAGCTTACAGAGATGGTGGAGTCTTCAGCCCGATGGCCACAGCTGGCCAGCAAGACAACAAAAACAACCGCTCTGTGGTTTAATTCTTGCTTTGTGTTTACTGGGAATAAATGGTGAAGTTACTTCACAATGAACCCAATGGCCATGTCATAAGCCAGGTAGGCCCATTGAATTATTGTGCCTTGGGGCTGATCGCTGGATGATCTGGGCCTGAGTACTGAATGGTGGAAAGCAATATAACTATGCATTCATTACATTTTAGGATGGGTATTTAATTCTGACACAAATTCTGCATTTTTCAAATGCAAATCAAGTTTTTTTTTAGTTAAGAGGTCAAGCGACATGAAACCAACATAATAGAGGTTTTGTTTTTCATTCTGGCACATATTCTGCATGACACTGTGGAAAAGTAATGTCATGTGTGCACTGCATTTTACGCTTGTCCATTGTAGTGACTGCTTTTCAGTTTGGCTCAAATTCTCCTTTGTACTCCCTGGGTGTCTGTACCATCATTAGAGTTGTTGGATAATGGATACACCATTGATTTGCTGTGGTTGTTGTGGTTATAGTCCCACTGCTGTTGTGGTTATAGACTTCAGTCCCTCTGGGCTTTCCAAAGAGGCTGCATGTGCTGAAACCGGTCAGTCAACCCAAGACTCTTCACAAATGCTCATGGTAAGACCCGCTGAGCTGTGAAGAGCACTTAATAGCTTGAAGGAATGCTTCACACCAAATGCTAATGAAGCTAACAGTCAGTAAAAGATGGTAAAGACCAGTCAGCATGATGCTAACTGGTTCCATGCTAGCTGGCGCTCGATGTTAGCAGTGTTAGAGTTTTCTTTTAACGCTGTGGTGGTCAGAGAAGACTCTGCAAGAGTCTAAGAGCTGTTTGACTGAGAGTGTCTGAGTAGCAACATTTGATAATCTAGTTTATGAATTATCATGAGGTTGAAACAAGGACACAACAACATGTTAGAATAAGCATATTTAGAATATTTATGTCAGAAGTACTCAAAGGCAAATCAAATATAAATCATATTTATAATATACAAATTGTACAGAATACATTAACGTATAGTGCGGCCCATAAACCATTGGACAGTTGCAAAATTTCTCTTGTGGCTCTGTACTCCAGCATATTGCGTTTGGAATGAACGTGCAGAATGTCAGCTTTGATTAAAGGTGTGTACGTCTACAACAGGTGAAGCACACAGGAATTACGGTTTTAGAAATATTTCAGCGAACCATAAATAATTTGACAAATTAGCATGAAAGTGTCAGATATACCCTCAAAATCAATGGCTGCGTCAATTCTGTGAGTCACAGATACTGGGTATTTCCCCGGTGATGCCCTGCCAGGCCTGTAATGCAGTCATTTTCAGTTCCTGTCAGTTTTCAGGGGCTTTTCTCTTCAGCTTTGCCTGCAGGAAGCGAAATGCTGAGCAGTGCGATTCAGGGTGACTGACTCAGTCAGTCAAGAACATTTCAATTTTCAACCCTGAAAACATTTAGTGGTTTGTTTTCAGGTCTTTCTCCTTCTGGAAGGTGAAGCACTACTCTCTTTTAAACATTTGGGTGGATTTTCCATTCACATCAGTCACGACATTCAACTTAATGAAAAACTTTTTTCTTGTAAAAAAAAAAAGAGAAAATATATATATATATATATATATATAGCACAGCTGATCACAGCCATCCATGGCTGGGAGTACAAGAGAGCATAACTGTTCTCGCTCTCATGGTGGGTAGGATGGCCCTCCCTCACCCCCTACTCAGCGCAGTGGTAGTCAACGTAGCAGCCTGTTAACTGACGTAACAAAATTAGCAGTTAGCGTTCTCCTCCAAGCGTGTTGAGCTCTGCAATGGCATTGCGCTAACAGCAGATCAGAAAAATGTGGTGGAGCTTCACATGTCTCGGAGGAAGTTTGGGCTAGCATTGCATGAGAGAGAGAGACTTAGCTAGAAGGTAGAATTTGACAGGAGAAAATATGGATAAAAACAAAAGAAAGAAAGAAAGAAAGAAAAAATGCTACGTTATTTAAGTTTTGGTGATTGGGGGAATTTGGAGACCTCTCTGGTGGAAATGTGTAATTGCATGGAAATTATGGAAGAACTTGTTGCAACGTGGGCTCTGTTTCAGTGTGTCGAAAGAGATTTCAAAGAACACAAAGGACGTGTCTTTCGCAGCTATTTTAGCGTGATTTTTCTTCCTGACTTAGCAATGCTATTCCTTACAATTCTAACAAAAAACATAGTACAGCTAATGATTTTTATTTCATATTTATCTGTGTAAAAGACCACACTGTTAGGAGGGACGAGGTGTGTAATCGAGCTAATGTTAGCACAGCAGCAAATTCACAGTTATTTCCAACCCACAAGTCCCGATTAGCTTCCACAGTTGTGTAGCATTTTAAACTGGAACCTCTGGAACCAGCTAGCCTTTCGTAAACGTTGTGCTAGAACATGCTTACATGTTCGTTGTGTTCTTTTTAGCAAACTGTAAGCTGGGCTTTCAGTGTTTGAAGCTAGAGTTCTTCAGTTATTCACTACTGTAGCCTTCTGTGATCTACGAGGTTATTTGCTATTGCTAAGCTAACCAGCTTTTTGCTCTTTCTGTGGTTGACACAGTCTAACAATTCTGAATTAAAGCTGACAGTTCACACTTTGTCCTGTCATTGCCTTATTCCAAATCCAATATGCTGGAGTGTAGAGCCAAAACAACACAAACTACTTTGCTGTCCAGTTCCTTATGGACCGCACTGTATTTGACCTTTCCAAACAAACAGGAGATAATGTTTTACAAATGGCTGCGATGGACAACAATCGAAGAAGCAATCGCCAAAATGGCAGCAGAGTTCAAAATGTTTTCAGATATACAACATCATTTGTACTTCACCAGTGGAAAGAACAACAACAAAAACAAACAAACAAACAAACCAAAGGAAAAACAAAACAATAAAAACCCTTCAGTACACAGCCTTCCAGTGGTTGAATGAACCGAAGGAGGTGCGTGTTATTACGAGTAATAAGCTCACTCTCTCCACTGATGGAGGTTCTGACACACGAAAAGGTTACATAAAAGGAGCAAAGCGAGAATTAGCTGCGTTCGAGGGGAGAGAATGTTCTAGAAAGGGGCCGAGTGCTCCATTAGCCGCGGGTTGCCGTGGCGGCCAGGACCGGGTGGTAAGGGTTACTCGGCCTTATTTAGCAGATGAAGCAGGAGATCCTGTTTCACACTGCTTTTCACACCCTTGTTTTTCTGTCTCATTTGTGCAAGAAAGCAGAGTCTTCTGTAATCGCCAGAGGTCAAGCTGAGGCCTGTACGGCCCACAGTTGGACGCTGCTGACCAGACATGGACCCTTGGTGTCCCTGGATGCCTTTGACTGCAAATACATATCGCCGCTGTCATAACAAAACCTGGTAACCTTTCTTTAATGTACGTCAATGTAATGAGTTGAGTACAAGTCGTTTTGGGCTGCTCTTTATGAAATGTTTCACACAGTGTAAAGGGCAGCTGGCGTTTTCCAATGTTGTAAAAAAAAAATGTGAAATTGCGAGATTTTGCTTTGACAACGACAACATACTGAGGAAACACCGGTGGTGTTGTGCACGATGTACACAGCCAATCAAACGTTTGGGGACCCCTTGCCTTATTTCTGAATTTGAATTTTCTCACTGTTACTCTTCAATTAAGTGAAAAAAAAACAAAGGTTTTGCTCATATAAAGCAGCTATATGTTAATCCTTTGAAGATATTTAGCTTAAACAATCATGTTCATCAAAGCACCTTCCTTCATATGAAGATCAGCTTTTGCCTGAATAATATTTTTTCCAAACAACTGTTAAAGCACATATTAAAACTCTTTTGGCCTGAAAGATTTGAGTGTAGGTTTGTGAGGTTGTGTGCAATACATATCACTAATTGATGATATTGATGAGGGGGAACAAGGGTGGTGGTTGGTCTTGGTCTGGTGTGGTTGTTGGTCTTGGTCTGGTCTGGTTGTTCATGATCTGGTTTGGTAGTTCTTGGTCCGGTTTTGGGAGATTTAGGTTGGGTTTGGTAATTATTGATCTGGTTTGGTAGTTCCTGGTCTGATTTGGTGGTTCTTGGTCTGGGCTGGTTGTTCTTGATCTGGTTTGGTAGTTCTTGGTCTGGTTTGGGAGTTCTTGACCTGGTTTTGGGAGTTTTAGGTCTGGTTTGGTAATTATTGATTTGGTTTGGTAGTTCTTGGTCTGATTTGGTGGTTCTTGGTCTGGTTTGGTAATTATTCATCTGGTTTGGTAGTTCTTGGTCTGGTTTGGTTGTTCTTGGTCTGGTCTGGTTGTTCTTGATCTGGTCTAGTAGTTTATGATCTGGTTTGGTAGTTCTTGGTCTGGTCTGGTTGTTCTTTGTCTGGTTTGGTTGTTCTTGGCCTGATTTGGTAATTATTGATCTCATTTGGTAGTTCTTGGTCTGGTTTGGTAATTATTGATCTGGTTTGGTAGTTCTTGGTCTGGTTAGTTTGTTCTTTATCTGGTTTGGGAGTTCATGGTCCAGTTTGGGAGTTCTTGGTTTAGTTTGGTTTGGCAATTATTGATCTGGTTTGGTACTTCTTAGTCCAGTTTGGCTGTTCTTGGTATGGTTTGGAGTGTGCTGTAGGTTTAATAAATCATGTTTACAGCTTATAAATTACTTCTAGTTAAAATCATAAATAGTTATTACATACTGCACATAATCAGTCTCTTGGCTACTGTTAGCCTACTATTATTAAGCTATTAATTACAGTAATAGGCTTTGTCTTTTTCATGTCAAACAAAATAAATCAACGTCAAAATAATTTAAGCCCTCGTTTATGTTTCATAAGGGAACGTGTTCTGTGTGAGGAAGGCTGCAGCATAGCTTTAGTTATTTAACATTGTAGAGAATGTTTTGAAACCAAACATCATATTTACGTTGATATGATATGGACTATGTTAAAGGACACATTAAAGAGGAAACAAAGACTACAAGACAAATATGGTAAAAGTTATTATCCTAAAGCCGCCAAACAGCACATTTTCTGACATTCAACTGTCCAACTTGATTGAAAATTGTGATAAATGAAATCTATCTGCAATTCATGATATTATCATTGACTGAATGTATGCTGACATCACAAGGGGATAAATGTGTGGAGATCATTATTCGCAATTACGTCTCATATAAAGTTGTTCCTCCAGTTTTGTAGATTTCCAAAAAAGAAAAAATGGCATAATTCTATTGCAAAATGATCATTTGTATTAAAAACATTTTGAAAAGCTGGTGGTCCCCAAACGTTTTGCTGTGTACATACACTTCAGAAATGCTGGAGGTGATGTGTATTATGTATTTTGCACACAGAGAGATCAACACACAGCGCACATGAAATATTCATCACAGCCAACTAACTCGTCCCATTTGACGTCCAGCATCTACAAAGTAATAACGCAAAAAGACCCTTTCAAGTCGGGCTGACCTTGCAAGTTTTCTGAGGTTTTACACTGGAGTTTGTTCAACATTAAGGAATCTCATCTGAGAATTACAGACATAAACCGTATGACACATAGCCAAACCCACACGCGCAGAAGACGCACTGACAGCAGCGGAAAACACAACGCATAATTAATCACCTGCCAGGAGAGCGCAACAATCATAAGCAACAAAAGAGAAGATTATATCAGCACTTCTTAATTTATCAGAGTTAAGACAGCTGAGAGTGAACAGATGAATACCAGTTTGGAATGTTTTTTTTTTTGTTCAGTAAAGAAGAACACGGTAGTCATTATCACGAAGAAACGTTAATTCTGCCATCACGTTACAAAGACAAGCAAACCATGTCTGATCCGTTCTAACAAACTATGTGCCAACTAGGAGCAATTAAAATGATGAACACATCAGAAAAACAGCTTTGAAATGACATGCATCGCCACTCAAAGGTTTGGAATCAGTTTTACAATAATAAGAAAACAATTTGGCTTTAATCAAAGATGGCACTAACCTGATACCAGGTATCGGTTTTGGGCTGATATCAACAGGAAACGTTGGGTCGCCATACTCAGCAAATAAACAGTAATTTTGCATTAAAATGTGCAGAAGGTTATATACTTACTTTCAAAATTACTGAAAATCAATAAAAATAATTTAGCCAGGGTGCTCAAACTTTTGCATATGACAGTATAAAGTTATTTTAATATGCCAACCCTGCACAACTTCACAGGTTTCAAATAATTAATAGGAAGCTATAAAACAAAGAAACACAGTGTCATTCGTGTAAAGCGCCAAAAGCTACTTGATTGCTAACAGCACCCCCTTGTGAAGAATCTTCAGCCTGCTAAATGTGAACATGAGTTACAAGCCAGGTCAATCAGGTGCTTTCCATCTAAAAATGACAAAATCTTAGATGTGCGCAGACCAAGAAAGTTGGATAACAACACACTTAATGTTAGAGCTGTATAATGTCAGTAATCCATAAATAATAATATTAATAAAATAAACATCCAGAATACCCTGTATTTCAAAAGTGGTAGAGAGAACAAAAAATTTGCTACTCTTTCAGTTATTTAAATCTAAGATGTCTATGTTGTTACTGCTTGTAAAATATCCAAAATAATAATATGACAAATGATTCCAAACTTTTGAGTGGTAATGTAGATAAGCTCTACCCATCATGATGCATGGGGACATTGAGAAAAAAGATGTGACTGAATCATACTGAGATGGACCGGACAGTCGCTGTTCTTTATGAAGTCCAGGGTGATGCCAATATGGGCACAGTAGGCAAAGAGGGCCGAAACACTTTCCCCCTGGGAAAAGTGCAAAAGCTATTAGAATTTTACACAGGACCTCTTTGGTTATTTGAGGTCCAAAGGAACCGGCCCTTGGGCCCTTGCCGGGAGATCTATCAGACCACACACACACACAAAATAGGCTGGACATTAGGAGCCAGGATTTATCGCTGTGGGTAAACAACGCTGGTCCACGCTCCACACACACTTTATCTGTTATTCCATTCCCTCTGACACATTAAATAACTTGCAGATAAAACCTTAGCTTCTTGGCTGCTTTCCTGGGCATGGATTAAGCCTAGTCTTGGCCTAATTGACAGCGTCATTGGTGATTCTCTGTGGAAAATCCTTTTGATTCCGGGGCTTAATCTTTGTCCGGGAAGCCAGCCCGCGAGGTACAGTCAGCATCATGTGAACACTAAACGTCTCTTCCCTCAGTCGTCTTTGATCATAATCCCTACTGCCGCAACTACGCAATACTGGGGGACCTTTTGGAAAGACCGCAACGCCACCTTAAAAAACCCCATGACTCTTCTTACATGATGCTTTTGAAATGCTAACACTGAGAAAAATCCACACTTAGAGCCAGTATCCTTCATCTGGCCTTTTGTTGAACCAGTCAAAGGTTTGGACACACCCAGTCATGAAGGGCTTTTCTTTATATGAACAAGTCTTCTATTTTAGATTCCTCAGAATAGCCCCCTTTTGCCCTGATTTAGATCGGTAATGAAGAGCCTCCTTGGACACTTTCCAACAGGCTCAAATATGCTGAGACCTGCCTTTCAAAAATCTTTCAGTTTATAACTGATGTTTTGGAAATGAATTAATACAAAGGCATTGGCCTCACTATTACCATTTGCTTTAGAAATAAAGTTCTAGCAGAAGCCTTTATATGAAAATGTCAGATTATGAAAAAACATACATCTGGTGTGTCCAAACCTCTGACGAGTGCTGTATGTCTCATGACATCGTCAGATTATGAAATGAATTATGAATTGAGATCAGCTCCCATTGCTAATTAGAATGAATGAGAGGTCATGACATTCAGCTAATAGGTGTAACCTCATCCTCTGATGAATCCCTTGACACAGGCCAAAAAAGGTCAGACCCATTTAGCTTCGAGATCAAGCAAATGGATTCTACTCTGGATGCTCTGTGGCTTGCAGGGTAACACTTGTTTTCTGATAGGGAAGATTAGGACCTCATTTGTCTGGCATGTTATTGAGTCATGCTCCAACTTTTTCAGACTTTTGTTTTTTTTGGTTTCTGTGGATCGATGGGACTCTGGGATTTTGACATTCATTACCTCGGCGAGTGAGAAATAAGATAAAAAATAAACAGTCTGTTGCAAAGTCAGCACAGATTGTCTCTGGATTTCTCCGGCTCGTGGTTGGAAACGTGCTCCGAAAGCTGACAGCTTGAATGCAAACACATGTTTTCGATGTTATTCCAATGTAATTCTGCTCAGTGTGCATTTAATACTTTATGCTTGCTGGGAGCGTGACTGAACATATTCATAAATGTAAACAGAAGGACAGAACAATATCTTCTTTACTCTACAACAGATTGCCTTTCGCAACAATAGCCACCTCCTCCTCGTCTTATTTAAGCACACTGGATGCACCCACTGCTTACACAGCACAGTCTATTTTGAACTGAAGTGAGGTTCAAGATTATGGACATCGCAGGAGTCAGTATATTTCATCAGCCCTGGGCCTCTCTGGGCTTATACACAGTACATCCATAGAATTTTTCATATCCAGTGCTTTTACTGCTAATAATCTCTCAAGTGGGGAAAGTCTGTTTACACCCCACTGTTGTGGTCAGCATGGGCTATAAGAGGTCAAAGGAACAAGTCTGACATTTTTCTGTGATGTCTCCCCTGTTCATGTGTCGAAATGTTCACTTATCCTGTCCCCTACAAGCAGAGGCAAGGCAAACGGTACGCTTATTCCTAAATGTCTGACTCGGCCAGCGGTTCCGATTCCTCGGCAGATGGTGGGTGCTGTTGGTGAGTGTCCTCCTCTGTCCTGTCCACTCCAGGTAGGTCTGTTTGTTCTGTTTCTACCTTCATCTCTGTATTCGGATCACACTCCATCTCTTCATTTCCCATTTCTTCTTTTTTAACTTCAGTAGTTGAATCTGGCACTTTCCTGCCCTCTGACCCTTCTTGTTTCACTTCTACACCTTTTTCTTCTTGGTCTATTTTGGTCCCTAACTCTCCCCTGACCTCTCTGTCCCTCTCTACCACTTCCTCGCCCCTGTCCTCCATCTCTACTCCATCTCTCTCTCCATTTCTGCCCTCATTTTTCCCTTTCTTTTTATTCATGCCTTTGCTATTCTCTTCGGCCACATCATTCTCTGCTCCGTCCTGGATCTTCGATGGGTCATCCAGTTCTTTCTCTGTGGCCGTGCTTTTCTTCTTCTTGTTTTTTGGGGCGTCTTTGACCGAGTTCTTGGCGGTCTTGTTCCGCGTTCTGAAGATGAGTTTCTGCAACACAAGGGTGGGTTTACATAGTCTGTTTCATTTATGCAAATCAAGGACATCACTAATGAGTTTTCATTCAGAACAATGAAAGAGAGGTGGTTCTAACTGATGTTGGGAAATGAACTGAGAAAATATCAAGGGCCTGCATTTGGATCCTTAGGGACACAATGCAATTCACAAGATAATAAAAAAGTGTAGAGAAAACTCATCAATAAAAAGATTTGCAAACAACACATACCAATTTGCAGCAGTGAAATAATTAGTGAGCTATGCAATACAGAGGCAATACAGTCCTGTTTGAAAAGGTGCGAATACTTCTGAGATCCTTTAAAAATATTTCTACATTTAATTCTCATACGGCCAAACTATCTTCTAAATGTTTCAAAGGCTTCTAAGAAGCGTTTATCACCTCTAGAAGAAAATCTGGGGGTCACTGGTGATGATGTGTCAGAGATTAAATTCAGTTTATATGTGAATTTAACAGAGATTGCCCACAAGTGGTCCACATGATATTTTGACTTTTGACACAACCTCAACCTCATCTTCGTCTGGTTATAATTAATTGATAGTATTTTTATCACCCTATAATCCTTTAATATAGCCTAAAGTTTTTTCAAATAAATAACTTTTTCTGACATCTTATTTTGATCTGCCATGAGTATTAATCAGGCATTTTCAGATATAATATAGCATTTTTATAAGCTTACATTGTTAACAGGCTTTATCGGTTGCTGAACAAAAATTTACCACATATATCAGATAAAGCTAACTTAGCCACTGTTTTTTTAATGCTAATGCTTTAGACTGGATCCTCTCAAGAAAGCTGCACGTGAAAGGGCATGCTACCTTGTTATGGCAAATCCAAAAAAGCTTTGGGCTTCATAATTGTTTTTTTCTTACAGATATTAACTGAATACCTGAAATGTAATTTTGCTCATATTCAACATTCAACAATGCTTGGGGTCCCCAAAATGCCCATAAGAACATTAATGTGGACCACCGGTCTAGTGGGTGACAATTTATCCCTGATTTGTGCTTTAACTGGTTATAAAGTGCATACCATGAACTATCAGGTATATTAGAAACAGCCAGCTGAATGTTTGTCCAGCACTCTAAATGTTAATCTAAGGTAAACTCCAAGCATAGGTGTGCTTAAAGGCGCTTCCTGAAATGTACAGAATTTACAGAATTTTCATATAAGTAATTTCATATAGACTTGCTTATGGGGTTTCTGATGCTCTATGACATACTGGATCCATATACTTGGACAGAAATATGTTACATAGCTAAAAACAGTAGTATCAGCCATCAATGTCTAAAATCTCTACATTTTTGCCCAACATAACAACTTGAGGCTAGAGTATAATGATATAAATGTGCTGTTAGCACCATGCTAATTGGTGCTGGGTAAATCTCTATTACTTACCAAATATGACTACATTGCATTAGCCTCATAGCTGCAAAATGGCAAAATTGTATTCCTTTTATTTTTTGCTAAATTATTCCTTTAAGTGTTGAGTTTATGTGCCTGCATAACAGACTGAACTGAGGAGTTCTGCACCTTGGACTGTTTCCTTTTGAGAGGCAGCGCTGGTCTCTGCAGGAACACGATCTGCTTGGTGGACAGGCTTCCGTCACTTTGGGGAAAAGAGAGGGAGAAAAAAGCGAGATGAGGAAAGCGGCATTAGTTAAGGTTCAGAAATTTACATACTTGTGGGTCGTTAGCGATATTTCTAATGGCTTCCTCTTTCATGGCAGTCCTGGGGCCATTTCGATTAGTTACAGCCTGCTAAACTCTCAGTAACCACTTTCCCCAAAGCATTGTAGCCTTATTATGCCAGAGAAAGAGTTCAAATATGCTCTCTCAGCTATCTTTTGATGGTCTTCGCACTGTAATACTTTTAGGGACCTCAATCAGTTGCGCAAAGTAACACCTCCAGTGTACCATTAACACAGCAGTGAACACTGGAGGCCTGTTTCAATCAGTACATGCTGTTGCTAAACCTCTTTTTCAGACATAAGTAATGTCTGTGTATGAATTAAACCTGCCTATCTATTATGTGCATTTATCTAAAATGTAAAAGTGAATAAGATTTGGTTAACAGTCTTTTTTGTCACTAACTTAAGTCGTAAATGCACTAAAGAGAAGTTCGAGAATAGCAGCACAATAAATAGTGTAATTGTAATCATCTTTGTAAGACACACCCCTCTAAAACTTGTCAAGACCTTTATGACTGACAACCTCTGCATGAACTCTGAGTCTGCTGGAAGTAACCGGACATTCTCTGGCGTGTCTCATCCTGAGATTTTTAGAGTGAGATGGTTGTAAAATAAAGTATTTTAAATATTTATTTGATCAATTCAGCAGATGCCCAATAGCTTCTGCTGTGAGTATCAAGTCCATGTGTTTTCCATTGTTTTTCTAAGTACAGATAGTAGACATTCTGTCATTCTTGTTGATTTTAATGCCTGTATGTAATGGCTATGTTTTATAGATGTAAATGCTAAATAAATGTAACATGTATATCACAAATATAGCCAATTTATTTACTATCTAAAACCACCAGTGAACCTACACGAGTCTTCTGAGTTTTTATATAATGTTGATGATAAAATAGTCATAAATCTGAAAATAATACGTTTTTTCATTGGGGACTATTTTGCCTCACAACACCCTGCCTGTACCTCTCCATCATGAATGAATTAAAATACATTCTGAGCCAAAGCTTTATCACAAAATTTGGTGTAATAACTTTCTGTGAGGAAGCTTTTAGAGGTGGACATCTGGTTCCTATCACCACTACTGTGAGCAATTCTGACTCGTTAATTATCTCTAGAACCGAGCGTTTCACACCAAACCACTCTGAATGACTTTGTGTGTGTCTTAATCATTTATACAGAAGTTTTGACAAATCGGAGTTCCCTTTTAAATATAGATCAGAATTTGTTTTTTCATGATTACTATTAACAAAACTACATTTCTGCTTGTGTGCACTGTTGCAAAACTGTGACACTGAACTGAATACACTGCATATCAGTTTGCTAAATCACAAATACTGTATCAGACCACAAAGCCCAAAGGATGATGGTTGTAGAGACAAACTGCTGATTAAATGCATGTAAATAAACCAGTCAAAGCTTTTTCCCATCTGAGCTGACGTCCTACTCTGGTGAGCATCTATAAAAAGGCGTCACTTCTGGAGCTATTCTGTTTATAATGGACGGTCCATTATGGACCCTGCACATAAACGCAAGTGCTTATTTGTATGTGTTTAACCCTCTGGGGTCTGACGACATTGGCTGCCCTGTATCCATTCAAAAAGCAGTCCATGCTGAAACATTTCTTATAACTGTATAACTGTAGAATGGGTGGGGCTAAATTGATATAGGAAGAATAGCTAGATTTTTTTATGACATCACAAAAACAATGAATTCCAAACTGGCTGCTTGCAGCTTAGTTTCCATATATGGACAGTAAAATGACAGTGTTTACATACTACACACTTAAAAATGATGGTTCTTTAATGGATCTTCATTAAAGAAAATAATTATATATAGAACCATGAACACTTGAAGAACCCTTTGCATGATTAAAGGGTTCTTTGCATCATGAAAGGGTTCTCCAGATTGATGAAAAATGTTCTGTAGATGGTTCTGTATACCATTCAAAAGAGTTCTTCTATTGTTTCAAGCTTGACGTCGTAACAATAGAAGAACCCATTTTCAAAAAGGTTCTACATAGAACCATCTATAGCACATTTTTAATAACCCTTTCATGATGCAAAAAAACATGTTAATTATGCAAAGGGTTCTTTAAGTGTTCATGGTTCTATAAAGAATTGCTGTCTTCACTAAAGAACCCTTTAGGCTCATATTTAAGAGTGTACATCACAACAAACTCTTTTATTCCAAAAATTTGTTTTTTCCATGATATTGGCCTTTAATTTATTAACAATGGTAATCAATGATACTGTACAGATGTGGGAGATAGAGATGAGATAAAAATGCAGGTATATTCCTTTAAACCTTTAAAAACCCAAAATATTAATGTTTTCAGTGTTGCAGAGCAAGAGTTTGGGACTTTAGCCCTGCAGAATTTCCATGCGAAGGTAATGTGAGGAGAAGCTAAGAAGGAGATTCATAAAGAAAAACACAATGTCTCCCTGGGTGGGATATCTGCAGTGGCAACATGAAACTCTCTCTCTCTCTACTCTATCATAATGAGACAGTAGGAAAGATAAGCTGAGTTTGAACGCCAGGCTCTTGGGCCGCTGCTGTGTGGCTTTGAGTTTCTGGAGCACCTCATATAAAGTAGGGCCTCAAGAGCAGTGCAGAGAGCAAGAGTATACACACATGCACTTCAAATAAGGTTTGTAATCCTCTGAGGACTTGGAGTTGTGTTTCTAAACATTCTTCATCTCTCTCACACTCCCTTACCACTCCCTACCCCTCCGCCCCCTTTCCTCTTCCACTTTCTTTCTTTCTTTCTTTCTTTCTCGCTCTTTCTCTCTCTCTCTCTCATAAGCTCCCACTCTCTCTCTCTCTCTCTTTCACTTCAACTCAACCTCTCTCGCCCTCTCTGCTGCATGCGCCTCCCTGAATCCATACCAGAAAAGTACTTAGAGGGTCTCTAACGTCGTGGAGCTCAGAACAAATCCTGCTCCTTACTTTACCTTGCTAAAACGCAGTGGTCTACGAGAGCGCCTTAGCTACAATCCTCCAACATCAAATGGGCTTTAGATCACGGCACAAGCTGACAATCAACACCAAATGCCTCGTTTACCCCCTGCTTTGCCTGCTGCTGGTTCACTCTACTGATGGAGCCGGATATTTAAACAGAGGGATTCCTGCTTAAAAGTCAAAAAGGAGAAAACAAGACTTTCATAAAGAAACTCTAAGCTTCACCCCATTAAAGGGCCCATATCACTGAAAAACAAAGGTCTTTCATGAAACAAGAGTGTGGTCCAGAGAGCCACAAGTCAAGCCCTGCGTCCTAAACAAGTCAGTATGCATTCTTCAGCAAGTTTAATGCCATTTCAATACTGACCACCAACAATAATATCAGTAATATAGACTTTTACTGACAGCTTTTTGGTAGTGTATAGATCAGGGGTCAGCAACATGTAGCTCTGTAGTCGCATGCGGCTCTTTTACTGTTCTGTTGCGGCTCCACTGCAGAATTAGATTTGTAGGTAAAACTAAAATAATCCTCCTTCGCAGTAAAATAAAGCTCTGCTGATCGTTCAACACAGTTTTAACAAAAAATGGTCTTAAGGTAGGTAACGTAGAACTGCTAATTCACCCTTTAACCCTAAAGATCAGTGCGCAGACTGCTGGTCAACATTGCAAAGCAGACAACAATCTCATCTAGCTCGTAGCTAGAAAGAATTAAGACAAACATCAACGAGCAACGAGAAACTGTCAAACACTAAAAAGTCGCGAGGCTGAAGTCAGTTTCTCATTTACCAGCTTCTTTCTCATTCCACTTTAAATAGTGCTGCAGTTACATTCTAGCGCCTCAGGCACCATTTAAGGTGGAGCGGGAAAATTCAAATGGGCGAATGAGAAGCCGACTTCAGCCTTGTAAAAAGTCCACGGTTAGGAGACATTTTACAAGAAACTATTCTACTTTTGAGGAAAAGTTTCCTGTCGGAGATGCGAGAAAAGCGGCTATAGCTGCGCTGAAGCTTATAGCAAAGCAAAGTAAGGCTGTGTTTTTGTTTATATTATATTTTTAGCCTATACTAGTATATTAGCACATACTGAGACATATTTACAGCCAAGATGGCAAAATGGACATTAAATGCTGTGGCTCCCAAGGTGGTTTGACTTTTATTGAAAGGACAAAACGGCTCTTCTTAACATTTGGGCTGCTGACCCCTGGTATGGTTAATTCCTTGAAATAAGTGAGGCTATTTGCCAATCAAATGACACTATCATTAAATAAAGTTATTAAAACGAGAGAAACTCTCAGGAAATAAGTTGAAAAATCTTACAATATTCTCAATATTCAGTCTCAAAGGTAAGCAAAATTATATACTGGACTAGATTTGAGATTATTTTACTTTCCAATATATATATATTTTTATTTACACACAAAAAACAACATAAAAGTAGCTAATGACCACCAATCTGTATCTGCTGTGATCTAGTGGTCAGAGACTCTACAGACGATTAAGGCTAGGACTGGGATTACCACACACAATAACACATCATCAGAAAACTCTTCAGTTTAAGGGGGAATTCCATTCATTTCTCAAAACTGTTGCGTAATTCAGTTGTTAAGATGTAAACAAAGTCATTCAGAGTGGTTTGATGTGAAATGCTTCATTGTAGAGAAACTTACAGATTTCTTTACAGTGATGGTGATAGGAACCAGGGGTCACCATGTCTACAACACAAATATAGCCATTTTAATTACTATCCACAATAATCATTATACCTACATGTGTCTTCGTAGTATGTAATGATGGTGATGGTGTATAATGATGATGGCGGAATAGTGACAGGTCTGAAAAAAGCTTCTCCTAAAACTATCAAAAATCATAATCATAAATCTCAGGCATGAGAAAGAGTATTGATAACTACTTCATGTAATAACTTTTTGCGTGGGAGTTTTTAGAGGCGTAAATCTGGT